CCACTATTCCTTGACATCTATCTACTCACATACTACACACATGTGTGTGTATGTAAATAAATAGATATATAAATACGAGACCCTATTTTGCACCACACAAGGTGCCTGTGCTGGTACAAATGTATGTTCTTTGTTCTTTCAGGGTTTGTAACCTGGTGTTCTCACCACCTACCAGGCTGATTCTTTACTCTTATTCACAATGTTGACCTCCCTTCTTTCTATTTCATTTTTAATTAGGTAGGAATGTATGGATACATTTTTTTCTAATAATTTTATTAGAAAACCTTTATAGTTGCCTAATAAACATTTTTTTATTTCCTAATAAATGCTGAAATTCTAAATTCTGGTAATTTACAGTATATACATCAAGACTCCTAATACGTTTGTTGACTTAGTTCTTGAAAATGATCTGTACAAAGGTATTGGTAAATTAACACTTAACACTTGTTTAAAAAAAATCTTTAGGCTCTAAGTGACAAATTGACCTTACCTTGATTTCCAAATGGCTTTTCTCTTCCATACCATATATGCGCTGAGGGCTGTTTAAGTGCTTAAAATAGCACTTGGCACCTGGTAGACTCTACATGTTATCATGATTGTATCATTGTTATTATCATATTATTATTGATTTGAAGAAAACAGGAAAATCAAGTAAAATCAAGATACAAACAATATAGTTCCTTTTAAATGGTGTATATTATAGAACAGCTATTCAACAAGATTTAAGGAAAATAACCTGGTTGCCCACTTATCCTCGTATTTCTCCTATTCCCATCCTAGCATACTCCTTACTTTCCACTTTTATAAAAATACTTTCAACATAACTTCCTAGTAACACACTCAGATAAAAACTTTTATATTATTATCAAAAACATTATTAAGTTTCAGTGACCATTTATTTTGGAATTCCATTAGTTTTCCACTACGCCATGAGCTCAGAGGTTAATTACATGACGAATGCATTTCATCTCCTGATAACCTGCAGTCCAGGAGAAAGGTCGAAATGTACAAAATAACCAAACATTTAGTATTCTGGCTTCTATATCTTGCATTCATGAGGGAGTACACTGTGTATAGTGTGACTAAATAAAAAATCCATCAAAGTGAATAATTCTCATCCATGTTTGTTATATTTTAATTAAAACCTATATACCACTTGTCATATCCTTCATAGACAAAACATAGTAGAAACATACACCTTGGCTATAGTAACTTGATTAAAAATAAATAAAAAAGATAAATACAATAAATTCAACCATTAAGCTGAGGCTTGTCTATTTGTTTAAGAGCATAAACTCTGAGAGCTAAGACACCAAGTTTGTATTGTTGACCATTTTTTTTTGCTGCCATAGAAGTGGCAGGCAGTAAGCATTCCATAAATATTAATAGATGACTGTAAAAGCTTTATTTGTGCTGGTACCTTAATACCATAATACTATCTATACATAATACTACCTCATCATTTCTGAACATATCATTAACATTACTGTGATAGTACAGTGAAATCATCTGGTATCAAAAATAATAATCTAAAATATCATTAACCATCGCAATCCCAAAAATAAATAAGTGAAAATGCAAAGTCCTCATGATGCCTGTAAGTTAAAAAAAGACATACTCTGACATAAATATTCTATCAACAATATGCATGTTGTCTAAAGCTGTTGACATCCTTCCATGAAGATGAAGGAAAGACAGGTTCAGTTAAGGAAAGTCATTATCCTTGTCACAGCAAGACAAGTAACCATGGGGAAGGCTGATTTAGCTGTATTTTTATATCACGGTTGACCCTTGAACAACATGGGTTTGAACTGTGTGGTCCCCCTTATATGCAGATTGCCTTCCTCCTCTGCCACCAGAGACAGCAAGAACAACCCACCTCTTCCTCCTCCTCCTCAGCCTACAGAAGATGAAGACCTTTATGATAATCCATTTCCACTTAATGAACAGAAAATATATTTTCTCTTCTTTGTGATTTTCTTAGTAACATTTTCTTTTCTACAGTTTACTTTATTGAAAGAATATGGTATATAATGCATAAAACATACAAAATGGGTGTTAATTAACTATGTTATTGGTAAGTCTTCTGGTCAATAGGATATTAGTAGTTAAGTTTTTGGGGAGTCAAAATTTAAGTACAGATTTTTGACAGCACAAGGGGTCAGTACTCCTAACCCCCAAGCTGTTTAAAGGTCAACTGGATTAATCTATATATGTTTAGCAAATGATCTTGCACTGTTATTGCTGGGAACGTGGCCAATGTTCCCCGCAAAAAACCAGGTCCCTTTGGTAGAGTTTCAAGGGATAAGAAAATAATAGAGAAAAATGGAAAATAAAAGAATACACAGAGACAAAGATATAGTTTTATAAGTTTATGAAGATTATAGGCAGAGCAAGATTTCAAGGGGCCTAGACCTTCTCCATGGGTCTCAAAAAGCCCCAAATGAGGCCTTACATGGTAACTTATAGGGAACAGTGATTAATTGCCAGGGGTAACAGATTTACATAACAACAGGTAGTTCCTCTCAGGTTAACAGATTTTCAAAAGGCTTCTACAGATCCTTTAACTAATTCTATCTACGTGAACAAATGGTTACAAAATCTTTCAAAGATTAACTTCTAAGTTCTAAGGTAAATTTATCACTTAACAGAGGGGTTAAACAGAGATATGTTGGCTCCATATTTATTAGGTTATTGTGAATGGAGACAGGTAGTCTAGAGTGTTAAAACAGGAGTTTGCTTTTAGCCATTTGGGCAGCTGTCTGTTCCGGGGGGCACTCTATTGTCAGCTCTCATCCTGTAGTTTTTAACAGATTCACTTTGCTTTACAAAGCAAATCCAAACCTTTAGGTTTGAGAAATGCGGTGCCTTGTGGGATACTGCCGCTACTGTCTTTCAGAGATGCCCTTTCAGTGTAACAGCATTTGAAATGCAAACCAACACGTTCACATATTCCTTCAGGGCAAAGCTCTAAAAAACTCCTAAGACAAATCCTGTCTGCAAACACATCTATATTAATTCATGGAGCAACATATTATAGACCAGCCAAACATACTGAATCAGTGCAATCGGTGAATTTTTTAGAAAGCAAATTACAAGAAATCAAGAAAAAAACAATTTATTCAAGAAACTCTATCTTCCTAATATTCTGATCTGTCCCTAGCTCCTTTCCAAGCCCCTTCCCTGGAGCATCCTCCTCTTCTAGACCTTTAACTATTTGACACCCTGAGGCCACATCTTCAACTCTCTTTTCTGCTTATACTCTTTCTCCTACGTAAACTCATCCAGTTCCTTGGCCAAATAACATCAATAAGGTGATGACTCTCAACTGTGTATTTCTAGGTATAACGTCTTCACTTAATTTCAGACCTGCATACCCAACTGCCTATTCACCAGTTCCATTTTTCAATCAAACAGATCTCCAAGTGACCATTCCCCAAACCAAATTCTCGATCTACTGCCCCGAATTTGACTAATATCCTATCTTTATCCCCCATGTTTTCGTTATCTCAAAAAATAGCACCATCGTTCATGTAATTTCTCAGGCCAGAAACTTTGGGGACACCCTTGACTCTTATACTCATTTAAATCAACAGATCTTAACACCTCCATGTTCATGATATATCCAACCACTCCTCAACACTATGTTCTCAGATAAGCCATCTCTTGCCTGGCCTCTCCAGCAACCACCCTAAGTAGACAATGATTGTCACGCTTGTCCTCCAAAAGCTTATTCATCTGGAGTTGGAGTAGTCCTCTGAAAAGATAAACCACATCCTTCCATCTCCCGGCTCTCAGACTGAGTAGCTTCCCATTTTACTTAGAATAAAATTCTAATTTTTACACATCATGATCTATAAGGCCCTATATGATCTGGCCCAGGGATATCTCTGAAATCATTTCTTCCCACTCTCTCACTCATTCAAATCTTCTCTAGCCACAGAAGGTTTCTTGCCGAACTTGGACATGCCAACCACAACACACTTCAAATATCTCTGGCGCTACGACTGGAACACTCTACCAGGACTGCTGCATGGTTTGCTACTTCGCTTTATGCAGACCTTTCATCAAAGACAACCTTTCTTATCATGCTAGCTAACACAGAACACTGTTCCATCAGATTCTCTCTTTACTTTGCTTTTCTTCACAGGATTTAACACTGATGGATACAATATTACATAATCACTTTTTGTCTGCTTACACTGTTTTTCGCGTTAGTGTACGTGCTTCATGAGGGCAGAGACCTTGCGTGTTTTTCATCACTGTATCTCTAATACTTATAACTGCCCCTGATAGTCAATAGATGCTTAATACATAGTTACTAAAAAACTAAAGAAATCAAGTTTTAGCAATAAATGACCCACATACATAATTCAGGATATTATTTATATCTATCACATTCCTACACTGAAGACATATTTATAATCATCAAACTTTTTTTTTTTTTTTTTTTTTTTTGA